TAACTAAGAAGATACCCAGTCCTGGGAGGCCCACTTTGGGGCATCATTTGCTCTGCTGGAGCTGGGGTGGTGAGGACAGGATGAGCACAAACAAGGAAGCAGAGCTCGTCTGCATCAGAGTCCAGATTGCAAGAGAGGTTGAAGTAAAAGGTTTGGTGGTTTAATGGACAGCAGCTGGGGGAGCCTCCATGCGTGGCCAGGCCACTGTTAAGCATGAAGGAGGCTACAGTACAATCAGGGAGCTCATGAGAGCAGAGGGCACCGGGAAGGACTGCAGTGGGAAAGGTAAGTCAAGAAGAGTTAACTACAGCGACCCAGAGAAGCAGGTGCAGCCTTTAGATCACATCTGCTGAGAGCGTGAGAGACTCAACTAGAAATGTGTGGCTCTCAGAGCAACTCAACAGCCTGGAAGTAGGAGGGGAAGGCTTGTTCAGGGAGGGCGTCCTTGGCTATGGAAATCAGAAAGGCCTGCAGCCACTCAAGATGACAAGAGGTTTCAGGGTGGAAGTGAGTTCCCTCTAAATATGGGAAAGAGCAGATGAGAGTTTGTGACCTGGGAGAACAGAGAAGGCAGAGAGGGCTTCTGAAGAACAAGGGCAGCTTCTGTGCACCTTGTGTGAGAGGGACGGAAGGTGAGACGGTTGTGGTGCAGCTCCTGGCAGTGAAGTGATAGCTAGAAAGGATGAAATCGACAGTATGTGTGTGCTCGTGCAGGGGTCCTCAAACTTCTTAAACAGGGGCCAGTTCACTGCCCCTCAGACCATAGGAGGGCCGGACTGTGGGCCTCGGGATGAGTTGGCTGCTAAGCAGGACAGGCAGCGGCAGCAAAAACACCCAGTGGGCTGGATAAATGTCCTAGGCGGGCTGCATGTGGCCTGCGGGCTGTAGTTTGAGGACGCCTGTGCTAGTGGATAGATAATGTGGGCTGATGTGAAGGCTACTGGAGTAAATGCAGGCTAAGGAACTATAACACAGGTGGGGATGTGGAATCTGAGAGAGCAATGGGAGTGAGATGGGTAGAAAGACCACAGGCAGGTACTGCCAGGATGGGGGTCTGTGCAGGGCTGTGCTAAGGAACCAAATGGGTAAGAAGCAACAGAAGAAAGGGTCAGCGCCTGAAGTAGAGAGAGGCTCCAGAAAGAGGCATGGGATACAAGGGGTATTGTTGCTTTGCCTCTTGGCCTTGTGGTCAGCTAGGGGCGGTGGTCTTCCCTGCAGGCACTGTGAGGTGTTACAGAAGACGCAGTGGCAGGCCGCTTAGTGGAGAAGGCAGGGGACGGGGAGAGAGTGATGGGAGCAGGCTGGGTGTTGTCCTTAACACAGGGTCACCATACATACACACACACATAGGGAAATGGGAAACTGCAGCTAAATGTGCCTTTAGTTACAAATTATTCATTATAAAATTGTACAAAATATTTTCTACAGGTTGATGTAAAAATATAAAACATAATATCATATAAAATATGAGTTCATTAGTTTTTCCTATTGACGGCAACCTTCTGGATACCCTGTAAAGTCAAAAGTTCCAAAAAGATTTGTGGAAGTGTTTAGAATAATAATAATTCTTTCCTTAGCTGCACAGTAAAAGACCCAGGGAGTGTTGTAGAAAACAAAAGAAAACAAAACAAAAACCAACAACGGCAGTAGCCAGACCCATTAGATCAGCACCTGTGGAGTGAGACTTTTTAAAAGCTCCACAACTGACTCGGGCATGCCCTGAGGTTGGAGGAGCAGGAAAGTTTGAGCCGGGAGTGGAGTGGGCATGAAGACGGAGGGCGTCTCTGGGAGGGCTGAGGTGAGGGAGAATATTTCTGGGTAACAGCACTTAGGGAAGCAGGGAGATGGGAGAAAGACTGGCGGGGAGCATTAGCAGGCAGGGTGCCAAGACAGCAGAATTTCGGTGATAAAGGGCCCCTTTCAGCTAATCAGCCCCGAGGTTCCAGCTCCAGCACGGGTATGAGGCAGTGTGGCCGTGACTGAACTAATTGTCTCTTTGCAATTTGGAGAGACCGCTTACCTATAACTAGGATTTTGGTATTTCTGCATTATTAAAAGGCCATGAGGTGCGAGGAAGCCTCATCCATTATTCATGTTTGTTTCAGGCTAAGTGCTAGATCCCCAGGTGCTGAGAATTTATAAATGTCTATTTGGACAGCACTGACCACAACACAAATTGCTCCTGGGGTGTTTTCCCTCTTCCCTTCATCAGTCTTTCTGAGTACTGAGCATTTGCATCTCCTTTGTGCTAATTAAAATGATCAAAATTACTATATAAAACATTACATTTTGCATGGATTTGTGGGTGTATTTCTACTGGGAAGAAAGGTGCCTGAGTAGAGAACCATGGGTGTGAATATAAAATAAAGTGTCTCAAACATTTCGAATATGATGAAATGTCTCCTACGGTATGCTTTTTGCATGTTTTTTTCACCTTGGAATTGTTAAAAAGATTTGCCTTCACCAGACTCCGTGACTCCCCTAGAGATAGTTTTCCCTACGAAGAATTTAAGCCTGGCGTGATTTCTATCCTGACAGCGCCTTAGATGTACCACCTTGGCAAGGCACATAAAAGAAATAACCTTAAGGTTTACACTAGACCTGTGTGTTCACAACACTTACTCAACATTAGAATCTTAAAGCCCCAACTATCAAATTATACCCAGAACCAAGCAGGTGTCATGCCCGTCCACAAGACCACGCTGGTCAAATCCACCAAGAGGAACAGATGATGGCAACAGGCGTTGGGCTTATCTCTCTATTTCCATTTGTGCCCCTACAACCTTTTCCCTCACAGCCTGCTTCCCTGGGAACACAGCCTCAAACACCCGGTTTTCATGCTCCTGCTCTCTGGATGGAAGCTCCAGAAGGAAATTCCCTGATATTCACAAGAAATTTCTTCTCTTGTCTTCGTTGACTCATTTTCCCCCTACTTCTATTCCTCCTCTGGATTCTAACCCTTCTTCAGCCTCTTTGCTGGCTGCCCTTCCTCTGCCCCGGCAACAGCAGGGCTCTTCTCAGTCCCTGGGCTCGACAGTGCGGTGCTTCATGCAACCTCGCTTAGGAGCAGAGCCCAGACTGCAGCCGGCTGCTGGCGGGTGGAGCCTGCTTACTCCACTGAACAGCTGTATGACCTGGAGCGACTTCCTGGAACTTTCTGTGCCTTGGGTTGCACTTCTGTAAATGGAGCTAATGGCATCTCATAAGGTCGTTGTGAAGATTAAATGAGTTAAAATATTTATAACTTTGCTCGGCACGTAGGAAGCTCTCAGTAACGACTATCACTTACGGGACTGTTTACTCCTGGATCCCCGATCACCGTGGATGACAAACAGCACATAACTCTGGTTCCTGATCCTACCTCAAAATCTGCTCCCTAGCAACGCCAGATTCCTCACTGTTGTTTGGGTATCTTTTCTATTAAATAGATGCCCAATTCCTACTTTTATTCAGTATTCCAAAAGAACAGACACAGTTATGGACTGAATGTTCGTATGCCCCCCCCTCCCAAGTTCCTACGTTGTATCCTAACGGGATTGCATCCTGTTGGGTGGTGTGAGGCCTCTGAGCGGTAAGCAGGTCAGGAGGGTGGCACGCTCATGAATGGAATCAGTAACCTTGTACAAGAGACTTCAGAGTGTTCCCCAGACCTCTCTCTACCAGGTGAGGACACAGTGAAAAGTTGGCAGTCGGCAACCTGGGACAGGGCACCTCACCAAGCTCCACCAAGCTGTCACCTTGACCTGACCCCCTACCTCCAGAGTGGTGAGAAATAAACGTTTGCTGTCTAAGGGACCCCTTTATGGTGTGGTGTTACAGCAGCCCAGAGCTCCCTGTCCCGGAGTTTGCCACTGTTAGTTAGAGGCAGAAACTTGATCTTCAGTTCCAGCCATGCAGGGTTAGTGACAGGGTCCTGCGAAGGCTACTGGACCTTTTCCTCCTGTCCCTTCATCTCTCTCCTCTGCCATCCCTTCCCTGCCCCACCACGCATCCCTGGCTCTATATTTTCACTGAAGTCAGACTCATATTTCTAACACACATTTCCAGGCCTGTCTTTCTTCATTTAAACCTCTCCAGTCTCCAAGAATGCAACAAATTGCATCTCAGCTCCTCTCTCTGGCAGTCAAGGCCCATCCTCTGGACAGTTCTACCCACCATTCCAGGCTTACTGGAGACGAGGTGCCTACAGAGAACCTTAATTAATTGTTTGCAGCCACATATTTCTCCACGCCGTCCCTCCACCCAGACACCAAGGATTTCTTCCCGTATTGCTGATTAAAACTCTACCTTTCGTCAAAGCCAGTCTCAAATCTTAGCTCCTTTTCAAATCTCCTCAAACTAACATGGTGCCCCCTCTTCTCCCGAATTCCCGCCGAAGCCCGCACATCTCAGCCCGCAGTATCACCCGCTGAACTGCCCCATCCCTGGCATCTTTCTTCGATTTCTCCTTCCAGATCATAACTTCTTCAAAGGCACTTAACTCTCTCCCTTAAAGCTTCAAATGGGATGAAACGAACGGCAATAATCGCACCAAGAATTAAGCTCATTTATTGCGCAAAGCAGCAGTCTGTCGCCAACGCCAACCCTCTCCCTCCATGAAAAGAATGGGGAAGCGTATTAAGGAAACGGCGAGGGCCCCACGCACAGCCGCAGTGACGCCGCAGTGACACCACGTCCCCTGTAGGAAGGGAGCAGCTGAGATAAACTGGAAGTACATTATTTACCTTCCACAGCTCTCCTTGCCCAACTCTTCTAAATTTTTCATTGAAAGAAATCAAGGAAGGTAAACGAGGTAGCCCTTGGGAGGAAGGAGCAGAAAGGAAACAGCTCCTCTACCAGCGGGCCTCAGAGCAATGTCCACTCTGGTTTTTAAACTGCGTCCTCTGGCACGTGGGCGCACGTGCGGACACCCGGTCACGCGCCCAGGTGGCGCAGCGTCTCCAAACCTTGCTTTCCAGGTGCAGATGAAGAGGGCAGGGCAGGGCAGGCGCGCCGCTTACCTTCAGGGCATCCTGGGTGTCGTCCAGACAGTAGACGCGGATGCTGTACTCCAGGGAGGAGCAGCACAGGGGCCCGAACAGGGCCAGCTTCAGGCGCTTGGCGGCGGCTTTGGTGGTGGACTGGCCGACCAGGGCGTAGGTGCAGAGGTTCTCCGTGAGGATGTGGCAGGCCTCCGCGTCCAGCTGCACGTAGCAGGGGGTAGTGAAGTTTTCCTCTCCGACCACCACCACATCCTGGGGGACAAGAAGGAAGGGGCCACTCTGAGCCACTGGGGACAAGTGCCCGTCACCATGGGCGGTGGCAAGTGCTGACGGATGGAGCAGGACCTCTACTTCCCTGATCTTTTTATTTCTCAGGCTGATGATACATCTACTTCTATTCCTCATCGTTATTTTCTTTCGGCTATTGCCTTTAAACTGAAAATATTCTTCATTTAGATGCCCTTTATTAGTATGTGTTGGTCTTCCAAAAAAACTTCATTTTCCCTAAAAGTCTACATGTTTAAAAAGAATTCGAGGAATTAAGGAACTGTGCAAGGGTACGTTGTCTCGCAATTCAATTATGGTCTCCAAAGCTCCCCTGATTGCTTTTCCTAAATCATCTTGATGGTCAGATTCTATGGAAAGTAAGGTAACGTAACCTTCATGCCCTTAAGACACAGTTCTCTGTTATTTTTCATGGAAGCCATTCAATGGTCTACTCTTTTACACTTTGAAAATAGTAAGAAATAAAAAATAAGGGAAAATGATGCTTTTTGCAAAAAATAACTACCAATTCAACCAGGTTTTGATTTATCCATATGGCTCAGGCCACAGAATAAATTATCTGAAAGACCAAGTGTAGGGTCCTTTAACCAAGGTTATAACCCCAGGGCTTCCTGGGGCAGCCGGGTGGGGCTGTCAGGTGGGCAGGGGAGGAGGCAGTTAGAAGCCCCGTAGCCCACGGCTGCCACATAGGAATACGTGGGCCAAACCTTGTCTCCTCTAAGAGAGGCTGGAAGTTCTTATTTTTAGAAACTTCTAATTAATTCAATTTTAAAAGAAAAATCACATGCAGGAGAAATAAAACACAAGCCTGAGTGTGATTCAGTCTGTGTATCCAGCTATTTAATTTCAGCAGGGCAGGACCCCCGTCCACTTTGCTTCTCACTGCCTCCCAGGGGGCCTGCCTCACGGTGACTGTCCAGTAACCATTTGTTGACAAAGTAAATGTTTTGTCATAAATTTAGCTCCCAGGGCCACATGAAGATGTGACAGGAGTGGCCACCTAGGTGACTGTTTATGAGTCGGGCCGGACAACATCATCTGGGTTACAGTAAGAGCTGTGTTCTAATGACATCAGTGAAATCATTTCTTCAACTGAACCTATCCCCCCAAAGATGCTCAGACTGAAAAGGAAAATAGAAAAGGAGCTCATCACCCCAGCTTTATTCCAGCCCCCCGCAGGGCACTCGGATAGAAGTGGCTTTCTCCAGCAGAACAAAGGCAAACCCCAAGTATCACCTAGTGGTGACGTGTTAAAGGAAGCCTCCTGAAGATACCGACAAGGATAAAGAGGCCCATGTCCCAGGCCGCACAAACATGGGGCTGTTTTCATAAGGATTGTCCCCTTCTACTCTCCTCATCTGCTAAGTTTATTGTTGTTGTTGTTACTCAAACCAGGTAGGGTAAAATAGAATCATGCAAAGAATTTTTCCTCCTGTGAGATTAAGACTTTGAGATATTCTCCAGGTAAATCATTTAAAGCTTCAGTGGAATTGCAGGTAGATCTGGTTAACTCTGGTCTTATTCATTCATTATGGCCAAGACTACAGCATGTCCAGGGAAAGGAGATTGTCCCAGGTCATCCCAGGGTTGCCCTGCTACTCTTCTAACTTCAGAACTGTGTTTTCCTAAAATATAAAGAGTCCCAATCTTCATATATATTTTTTCTAAAATTTTTTTCCTAAAACACCTGGAAGTAATCACAAAGTATATAAACGTACTTTACATAGTAACAACTTCGTATTTTACATAATTAAAATTTCACATAAATATAAATTTGTAGTGTATAGGTCTTATGATTATTGGATATTTTTTGACACACATATTCCCAAAATACAGGTTCTAAGTGAAAGACTCTGATGTAAGGAACGAGACCTGTTTAAGGCATTGTCCTTACGAAATGACAATGACGACAGCCTCAGACAGTCAAGATGCCACACGTTTTCTTCCTTCTAAGGGAACTTTGGATATACATCCTTTCTTTTTTTCCCAGATTCAATTCACAAGAACTAAATCTCAGGTCTGACTGTCTGCAGGTAAGCACCCAGCATTTTCTGGCCCAGATGTCAATTAACATTTCTCTGCCTGCAAATTAAAAGCATATTTGTGAGTATCTCTTCCCAAAACATAGTATCTATATGCCAACTATATCCCAGAAGGGGCTTGTCTAAGTCTCATAAGGGCTCTTTTCCTATAAGTTAGTTAACTTATCATTTTCTCTGTCCTCATCAGCCAGAAGTTAAAGCACTCAGGAACAAGCCTGTCTGTTTCTCATGCATTTGAACATGAGGTAAAATCCCTTCCAAGTTTTGCTTTAAAAACCGAAGGTGCCCCATAATTGCTCTTGCTCATCTGCAAAAGGCTTGGTCTCAACGGAGCTCACCTCCCACTGTCCCTGTGCTGCCTGGTTCCTTAGCTGTATCTTCCAGTCCTCGGTACTGGGGTCCGCACAGTGATGCATCGTGAGGATGACGGGGCGAGTCAGCAGGGCTCCTGGGGGCCCACAGCTCACCACAGGGGTCAAGAGTGTCTGACAGTCTTCCATGGGTGGCCTGGGAGGACAGCAGAGAATGGCATCAGGAATATTTCCATAGTGTTTATGCATCATGCACTCGAAATTGGAGATCCAAAGTTGCATCAAAAATTCAAGTAGTTTTCTCTGGGAGTTTTTCTTTTTTCTTTTTGGCTGGGGCATACATGTGGGAGGGGAAGTGAGGCAGAATTAAATGCTCTCTATACCAGGATTTTCATCTTTCAAGACTGGGTCTTTTTGAGAACAATAAATATCCCAACATCTTTTTGAACTCTTTCTCAGACACGGTCCTGCCTTTGGTCGCTTCCTCTGAATTCATACCCGGATACTTTAGGGATGGAAGGAGAAAGAATAGTCCTCGTGAAGTTACATAACCAGCTTTTCTGATAACGCTTGCTATTGGTCTCACAAGGTTTTAAATGCTTTTTTGGTTTTAGGACCTAACTTGAAAAATGTTTTAAAAAATATCACTTCAGAATGAGGACACCCTTGAGCTAAACTTAGTCCAAATGACTTTCGGGATAATTCCAGCTAGTGCAAAGATTCACTCTTTCAAATATGACCAGAAAGAATACAGCACTGTATTTCGAGAGCCATTTAAAATAAGGTGGTTTTCCTTGTGTCCTTCATACTCAGAGGATCTGGGCATAAATAATCTCAAGGATCCAAATGTCTTATTTTCATATGTATTTTAAATGCCTTAAATTTCTTCCCTAACAAGATTATAATCAACATGCAAATGGATAAATGACTCAACCTTTCAGCTACTTTGTGAGGAAGTAATCCCACAGGTGGTGAGTGGACTGCCCAAGTCTCACCACTAACAAGGGCTAGTTAGTACTGAGACAAAACCTCTCACAACACGCCCTAACTATTCTATCAGAATAGCATAGCTCTCAAAATCATGAACACATAAAACTCTAGACGGGCCCTAAGGGGGCCTTACCGCAAACCAGAGCCTCTCTACAACTTGGCGGGCATGTGGTTGGTGCTTTACACACATTCAGAATGACAGTCCACTGAAATGTCACCTCATTGATTATCAAATCAAATTTACAACATATTCTTACTTAGAATGAACAAAATCTGCCTGCCTGAAATTTCTTTCCACGTACCTCTCCCCTTTCTCTAGCTTATTTGGTTTCACTTATCTGGAGACTGTTATGACGTCTCCACTGTCTTCTTCATTACAGACCAAACATCTTCAATTTTTTCAACCTCAGCTACAAAAGAGGAATTTCCACGTCTCTTCCATGTCTCCATTGTCATATGGATGCTTGTCTGTGTTTCAATGTCCTCAGTAAAATGGGGGCATCTTGGGTTCAATACTCAAGCTCATAGTATCAAAAGGCTGCTCTGTGATGTGGAGCATGTAGTCACCTGCACCCCTCACAAAACTGTTGCCTAAGATCAGTGATTTTTAACTGATGTGTGCCACAAAAATTTTTAAACATCATTAAATATTTTCAAAAGAAGTTTAAAGCACAGTCAGTATATTCTTTTTTCTTTTTTACTCTTTTTTTTTTGAACAACATAATTTAAGTGCACCATGATTAGATTATTCTCAACCAATTAATTACTTTAAAATATTTAGTGGGCTCCAGTTAGATGGGAAGATGGAGATGGTAGGGTATGGGTAAGCATAGCATTTATAAAATGAAGCTTTGATGCCCCAAGGAGTTCAAGAAATTCATTAAAGCTGACCACTTTTAGTATTCCTAACGTGAAAGGCTCTTAAGCTAAGGCTATATAGTTTTACAGTTGTAACGATGGCTTTATACCCACAAATTTGTATTTAGCTTTCTAATTTCACCTTAATTGTTTCAGGGAAAATTTCAGGCTATATATTTTTTAATGCTACATCTTTCCTCTAAATATTGGCTGTCTCTCTCAGTTTTTATCCTCCATAAATCTGATATGCCTGCTATTTATGTCCTCATCCCAACCATTGATAACACCATACATAACACAAGAATAGGGCAAAAGCAGAGATCTATTCAAGGACACCATTGGAAACTGCTATCCAGTCTGACATCAATACTTTTAGTTACTTAATTCAACCAAACAGTAACCCATTCAAATAAACATTGTCTAGTTCATATCTTTTGATCTTATTCACATGAATATTATGAGGGATGTAGCAAATTCCTTTATGATTACAATGCTCAATTGAAATTAATTTTTCCCAAATATTTATCTACAGTTTCTATATGTTATATAATCTGATAGTTTGTATCTATGCTTACCCTCATTCAGCACTCAATGAATTATAGTATCTATTATGTTTAATATTGTTGGAAGATAATTCTATATGGATTTCTCATATTTCTTGATGTTCCTGACTGTCTTTAAAGCATGCTTGTCAAGAAATCTCCTTGGAAGATAATATACTTCTGGAACAAATGACGGGCATGTCTACATCTCATTATAAAAGACTCAGTTTCCATAAGCTCAAGAGCTCAGAGCACGGCCACTGAATGTGGAGACATCATATGACCCACTGATGTCACTATTTCTGAACTGGGGCTCAGGAAACCAGCATAAAAATGATGAAACTCTGTATAGTGTGATTGCTGCTAAGTAATACATTGTCCTTTGTTTCTGACCCAAGAATTTTTGTCTCTATCAGCATCCATAAAACTGTGGCTGCTAACCTGGTAGCTCACAATCAAGTTCAAATTTTATTATTTATTTTTTGGGGGGACAGAGTCTCACTTTGTTACCCCTGGTAGAGTGCCTTAGCATGACAACTCATAGCAAACTCAAACTCTTGGGCTCAAGAGATTCTCTTGCTTCAGCCTCCCAACTTCTGGGACTACAGGCTCCTGCCACAACACCCGGTTATTTTTTAGAGACAAGGTCTTCCTCTGGCTCAAGCTGGTCTTGAACCTGTGAGCTTAGGCAATTCACCTGCGTCAGCCTCCCAAAGTGCTGGGATTACAGACATAAGCCACCACACCCGCCCAAGTTCAAATTTTAAAATTCTCACAGTTAACTAATATCAATTGTAAGAACTCAAATTTGGCATATTTTCCCCTTAATAATTCCTGGCTATCACTGCCTCCTGTCACATTCTAAAATTGTACTAGGAGTCCACCAACCTATGGCTTTAAGCCATATTTAAAAAGCCAAAACAGTTTTTACCTGTTTCTTATGCTTTAAAATCATCTTCAATCTCACTAAGTAACAACACAGGGTCCTTTACTAAACCTAAAGTTATCCAGGTATTTACATTTGTGTCACAAGGGTATTGGTAGCCGTGTGAGACCTTGTCATTATCCCATTCACTGCCTTGGTTCTTATTTCCTTTTAATCCAGTTTATCCTCCTTCCAGTCTGAATTCTATTCTGTTAGAACAGCGGTTCTCAACCTGCGGGTCGTGACCCCTTTGTAACAATAAAAATACATTGCGGCATTAGGAAGGTTGAGAACCAGTGTCTTAGAACATTAGGGAGGTTCTGATTTCATTATGTCATAGTTCATATCACACTCTCTGCCTTGAGCACGAACTTTGTTATTGCTTGATTTTCCTCCCCTGAGAGAAAAAGCAATGACTGCACTTTCCCCCTTGAGCACTACCCTTCCTTTTTAGTGATACGTGTACCTTGAAAAGTGAGTATTCAAGTTTTGAGAAGGAGACTAAAGCAGCATCTATTTCAAGTGGCCCTCACAATATAGTTGGGGATTGGAAACACCTCTCTCCCCATCTGGTGTGAGCAGTCGCTGCTTGAGACAGCAGGGCAGAGGGGTTCCTCTGTCACTGACTTGGAACAGAAGGGAGAAGAAGACTCCCTGCTGGGCTGGGGAGCTGTCAGGCCTGCGCTCTCCAAGCACACCCCTGGCATGCAATATTGATGGACACCATTCTCACAGGGACAGCCAGGGAAGGAGGCGGGAAGGAGGGGCAGGAGGTGTCAAAAGAATTTATTAACTCAGTGAGGTGCAAGAATGTAATGAATAGGGAAGTGGAATTCATAAGAGGGAATGGAAAACAAAGAAGAAATAACGGTCAGAATTTCTTACATGTTTTCAAGAGGACAGAAGTGTGTTGAACTTGGAATTATTTCTGAGCATATAGGAGCGACGTCAGCAAGATCAGATTTAACCATGCGAAAACAAAGGTCAGAGTGTCTAATTTCCCATTGTCTTTATTTGTATAAAAGGAGGATATTAAGATACAGAAAAGAAAATTGTCGAAGATAAATATTTCTGATTCCCGTTTTTGCAAGGAAGGGCTTTACTCCCTTGCGTCTCCTGTGTGACTGAAACTGTGCAAGGAGTCTGCAAATATGAACTGCAGATGATACAGAAATGAGCAGAAAGCAGCAGAGAAGCTGAAATTCTGCCCCAAACAATGATTAAAATTTGAAGTGCTTCTCACAGTCCAAGATGGACAGTATCACCGTAAATGCTGACTGGGTTCTGAGGCCCGAAGAACCAAGCCCACAGAGAGAAATCATAGTTTCTTGTCAGAGATAGTTTCTCATCCTTTGCTTTCTGTGGTCAGGGAGGAGAACTTCCACTAGACTAAAGTGCATAATTTTCAAAACTTTCATCGGAGCGACTGCCTTTGCTGCTCGGGGCGCACCTGTAACATAGTTAGAGTATTCATAGTGTCTCTTTTCCAGAAGAGGAAACTGAAATGTGGAGATATTAAGCATTTTTCCAAGGATGCAAAGCTAGTCCTCAGCCAAGCCAGATTTCACACGCAAGTCATTTAATTTTGTTCCCACACTGGACTCCTTTGGGCTGCTTGTAATGGGCCTAGGGCCTTGATAAGCTTTTCCCATCTGTGCACTAAAGCTCAAAACTTCCTGAAAAGAATCTGTCTCTGCCCGCCTCTGTGTGGACATGAGATGCCTTCTATAAACACATGTGTCCTTTGTCAGGTCCCTCAGGATGACAGTCCCACCCCAGGCTCAGCTGCCTTTGAAAGCACACGCCTTCACACATAACTGGCAACTTGAAGCATTTGCACTCTGGGTACCTGACAGGGAATATCTAACTCACTTGCTATCA